CTGGGTAAGTGTAGCGCCAGTGCAGTCGTTGCCTGGGTCAGTGTAGCGCCAGTGCAGTCATTGCCTGGGTCAGTGTAGCGCCAGTGCAGTCATTGCCTGGGTCAGTGTAGCGCCAGTGCAGTCATTGCCTGGGTCAGTGTAGCGCCAGTGCAGTCATTGCCTGGGTCAGTGTAGCGCCAGTGCAGTCATTGCCTGGGTAAGTGTAGCGCCAGTGCAGTCATTGCCTGGGTCAGTGTAGCGCCAGTGCAGTCATTGCCTGGGTCAGTGTAGCGCCAGTGCAGTCATTGCCTGGGTCAGTGTAGCGCAGTTGTGCAGTCACTGCCTGGGTCAGTGTAGCCCAAGTGAAGTCATTGCCTGGGTCAGTGTAGCGCCAGGGCAGTCATTGCCTGGGTCAGTGTAGCGCCAGTGCAGTCATTGCCTGGGTCAGTGTAGCGCCAGTGCAGTCATTGCCTGGGTCAGTGTAGCACCAGTGCAGTCATTGCCTGGGTCAGTGTAGCGCCAGTGCAGTCATTGCCTGGGTCAGTGTAGCGCCAGTGCAGTCATTGCCTGGGTCAGTGTAGCGCAGTTGTGCAGTCATTGCCTGGGTCAGTGTAGCGCAGTTGTGCAGTCATTGCCTGGGTCAGTGTAGCGCCAGTGCAGTCATTGCCTGGGTCAGTGTAGCGCCAGTGCAGTCATTGCCTGGGTCAGTGTAGCACCAGCGCAGTCATTGCCTGGGTCAGTGTAGTGCCAGTGCAGTCATTGTCTGGGCCAGTGTAGCGCCAGTGCAGTCATTGCCTGGGTCAGTGTAGCACCAGCGCAGTCATTGCCTGGGTCAGTGTAGCGCCAGTGCAGCATACCCAGGGAACCAGACCGGTGCAAGTTATGGCCTTTGTAACTCATGGCAGTGGCTATAAAAAGGCAAGCATAAGCCAATAATTTGTCCTTTAATTGTCAACATTTTTCAAGTTCGAAAAAGCCGAGACTCAGCACTGCTCATTGGAACATCGCCATTGGATGTGGGGAATTGCAGTTTTCTGTTGCTTGCCACTTCAACGTCCACCACAGCACCATTTGCCGCCTTTGGGACCGATACACATCAGTTCCATTCCACTGCAGACCGTCCGAGAACTGGACGACCAAGAGTTACTACCCCTGCACAGGATCAGTTCATTCGACTGTTCCACCTATGTCATCGCAGTGTACATCAACATCAGAACATGCCGCAGACGCTCCAAAAACAAGTAGAATGGCGCAGAATTCCACAGGACAGAATTCATACACTCATCCAGTCAGTGCCGAGGAGATGCAGAGCCGTGATTGCTGCCCAGGGCGAGTTCAGCGCAACCTTGTGGCCTTATGTGACATGACAATGAACAGTTTTCAACGACAACAGGTGACTATCGAGCTCCAAAATTTCATATTTGTATCTACAATATCAAATTGAATATATCAACTTTATAAATAAATAAATACAATAAATTTACTAAAAATCTGCCTATGCGTTTCTTTTTTGGAAGAGTGTATGTCATGAATACACCCCATAACAATGTTCAAAATGATTGAAGAAATTCACCAAGGCACCAGTATGTTTTGGCATGCAGGTAAGCACTGCACCGGCATAGGCATCTTCCCAAGGCAAGGGAGTTAACTGAGTATAAAAGATCAGTTTCCACCCTTGCCTAACGAAGCTGGCATAATGTAACTGTGGTCTGAGGCCTATCAGGACAGAAAATAGTGTGCAAATAAATAAACTTAATCAATACTAAGCCCATACACTGTTTAAGTCTCACGGATAATTTGGAATTCCTAACTCATACACAGCTATAGTCATTTGAAACCATCCTGTATCCATAGCATTTGATTGTACATTTTGGGCATCAATTCATTTCAAATAAAATTCTAATTTGTCCATAACTCAATAACCAAATGGAGATTGACAAAGGAATCACGTCCTGTCACGTCTTTCCATATGCTATCAATAGACACCAATTTCAGTCCGGTCAATCAATTTCTGTATTTTTGTTCCTATTTTTAAGGCCATGCAAGCATTTTTTAACAAAATAAATGGATAAAAGCTCATATTTTTCAACAAAAATGAAAATTGAAACTGTTATATTTGTAATCCCATGAAAACCCTGTATTTACTCATTACAATGATTTGTAGGTCAGGTAGCTGTGTACACAAATAGACTCCAACACCATCTAGACAAAAACAATATAATAAACCAGGATCAAAGTGGACTCACCCCAGGTTGCTCAACCTCAGACAACTTCGCCTGATTAGAACAAGACATCAACACGGGCCATCTAAACCGACAATACACAGTAGGCATATTTCTAGACTTCTCTAAAGCTTTCAATATGGTATGGCATAACAGGCTAATACAAAAACTAAAAAAAGCAGGACTTAAAGGCCAAATGATAAACTATATCCAAGACATCCTAACTAATCGCAAAATAACCGTGGGTGTTGACCAAACGCTATCAGACCAGTGTCCCTTAGAAAATGGCACACTCCAAAGCAGCATTCCAAGCCCAACACTCTTCAACATTATGATTAATGACCTATTCGAGGGAATACCCAATAAAATTCAAACTTCCAAATATGTGGATGACGGAGCCCTCTGGATCCGCAATAGAAGCATAAATATGGCTAAAAACAATTACTGCAGAATGCATTAAAAAAATTCAAATAGGGGCAAATAAATGGGGTTTCTCACTAAATGCTGAAAAAACTACAGGGATATTATTCAAACACAGAAATATTTGTGCAAACACACCCAAACTACTACTAAACAAAAAACCCATAAAATTCCATAAAGAAACCAAATCTAGGACTAATCTAACAAACAGATGCAGTAAAGATGTAAGCACACTACGCTGCCTGCAGGTTCGACCTGGGGGCCTCCAAGGAGACCCTACTATCACTTTACAAATCACTAATTAGATAAAAAATAGACTATGGATGCCAAATATACAACACCTTAAACTCCTCATTAAGTGATAAACTAAACACAATTCAATATCAAGCACTAAAGATAAGAAGAGGCGCACCTCACATATCACTGCAGGCACTAATAGGCGAAATACCCCTGGATCTACGCCGAGAACACCTAACAATAAATTACTGGGCTCAAACCAGACAAAACCCATAATTTCAACAAATCCTTAAAACCAACATAAGCACCAGACTCCAAGCTCTAGCTCACAAAACCCCTAAATTAATACCAATCTCTCAACACATAATAAATTACCTAAGTACACACATCCTAAATAATTTAAAACTAAACACAAGACCATGAAATACTCATATCCCCCGCCAATATGACATGTCCGGTTGTGTGCAATGAACTATGTTCACTGGGCCTTTTTGTAAATGGCCTAATTGCAGTACTAAAAAGTTATTACTGGTGTTGTTTCGCTATCTGCAGTTTATGATAGAATATGTAACTGTATTTGTAATGAGTAAGGATGAGACATATGAACAACTTTGGTTTCGGTGTTGGTTCTAACACCATTATCAAGCAAATGAAGTACAGAGTATGGTTGACAAGAATATATACAGGATAGGAGGCAGTGTTTATACAGTTGAGTAGGTTTAAGATCAGTTACACTGTTGTATTTGTAATGAGTTGTGTTTCTGAATGAAGTTAGTCAGTGAATGCAACAACCGTGTCCATGACAATTTTGGAGGAACATACACACAAGCGATGCAGAACTTACCAACAAGAAAGGAAATTATTCAATACTGTGAGATGACATTATGTGCCAAGTTTGGTGAAGAAATGTGGTACAGTTTTCAAATTCTGCTCCAGAAACGAGGACTACCGCCATTTTCAGTCTAAATCAAAGTTGTTGCCATGGACACTCGAAAAAAAAATTTTTTTTAAATCCCAAACTATCAAAAGGCACCAGTTCACCACTAGACCTATCTATGTGCCAAGTATGTTGAAGAAATATGGTCCGGTTTTCAAGATCTGCTCTGGAAACGAAATGTGACGGATGGACGGATGGACGGCACCCATTCCTATATACCCCTTCCACTTCGTGGCAGGGGATAATAACACCATCATACCCAAACTCCAAACCCCTAAAATCAACAGATCTCTCTCTGCAAGACTAAATATAGAAACTGATCCAAATAGCGCTTAATCCACCACTAGCATACATTCACGAAAAATAGCCAAATTGGTGCCACATTTACACAGATGGGTCCTCTGACCCGTGATCAAAATGCACAATTTTTCGGTATCTATATCAACAAACAAAAAAAGAAACAAAATCCTATAGGCTCCCAAAAAATCAATCAATTTTCACAGCCGAATTAATGGGGATAGTAACAGCCCTGCACAGCGCTCAAATAAAAAGACACCAAAAATACATAATCCGTTCAGACTCATTAAGTGGGCTCCAGGCCATAAAACACAAAAAAACAGAAAACACCCCAAACTATTACTACAGATACTTAAAGCTGCAACAATCTTTCTAAACTTGGTAAAGACATAGGTATAGTTTGAATCCCTGTCCACGTTGGAGTGTTTGGCAAAAAACACGCCGACAAAGCAGCTAAAGCAGCACTAAAATTAGATGAAGTAAGCATCACCTACCATTATAAAAAAATAATTTTAAAGTATCACAAAGGAGAAAATCTTCCCAAAGTGGCAGAAATAATAGTCTTGTTCTCAGGCACTGCTCTCATCATCATAAAGTTCGCCGCACGTTTCAATTTTATTTCCATTTTCAAAAAATATATAAGATAATCCTTAATTATTCCAATACTAGTAGTCCAATACTGTATTTCAGTACTTTACACATCAGGGAATACATTTATGTAGGGAGGCCCTTTCCCAGCCCGCCTGCCCCCATGATATTTTCAAAAGCCATTGCCTGAAAACCAGTCCTTTTATTTTTTAAGCCTAAGTAACTAAGTAAGTCAGAGCTCATTAGTTCTATCCAAGACAATCACGATGAATCAAGACACAGTTCAGCAAGGGCCACACTCCCTGGAATAAAGGTCTCACCCTTGAATCTGAAGAGTCAGAAAGTGCCTCTACACCCCAGATACCCAGGACTGTCACTAGGATGAGTGCCGAAGACTTCTCACTGGTTACCAAGTCTAGGTTGGATGGCACTGGGCTGCGACGCCAGACTGTAAGGCATCTCTACTTCTGTGAGGCTGTTGCCTCCTACTGCGGCCAGCAAGCAAGACCTGAAACAAGAGTCAAGCGAAGATGACTTGGAGGGTATGCGACTAGTCGACAATGAAAAGGTGGCCGAAGCATGAAACACAGCTCTGCGACTGCATCATTCGACATCCACTAAGTGCGACGACCTTCAGCTGCAGATAGACAAGGAGAGAAAATGTGGAGCATGCTGGAAAATAACACTGAAATGTGTTATGTGTGACTTCACAGCACCTGAAATGAAGTTGTACAAAGAAATCAAGACAGGCAAACCTGGACCAAACCCAGCAGCACCTAACATAGGATTTGCCTTGGGTTTTCAAGACACCCCTATTGGAAACACAAGAGCCAGGTTATTGATGGCTAACATGGACATTCTGCCTCCATGCAGGAGCAGTATGCAGAGGACCTCTAACAAGGTGGCTAAGGCTGTAACTGAACGGAATACACAGGATATAGCTGAAAAGGTTGAAAATAATTCATAGCATCTTACCTAGAGTGCTCGAAGCAACCTTCAAGTGCTACAACAGAGCCTGCTCCAGGTGTTTCCGGTACTCTGTTGTGTTTGGTGGCGGTGTAACAAACAGCTGGTGGCAGCAATCCATGTTCCTCGGCTGCAACAAAATTACTCATTTCAAAATGGATGACAATGATACACATTTGCTAAATGAAATTCTCAAGATGAAGTGTCAAACAATGGAACTGTACACAGACACACAGAAATGTGAAGCTGTGAACCGATCCAGGAGTATTTCTTTGCCAAAGAATGTGAACTTTTCAAGAAATATGATTGGGAGGGTTTCCTCGACTATTCATAGGCTCAACAATGGCCCCGGGACATCAGCAATGGACAAGTGCCAAAAGTCTGCTGTCAAACTATCATGTTGAGCAGTGCGGTCACTTGAACAAACAGACTAGGAGACTGCCTATCCCATGGAATACCAGAAAAGTCCCACTGTTGCAAAAAGAAAACTGTTGCAGTACATGGAAGCAAAATTTGTGAACATTTAAAGTCAAAACAGAGGGGGGACTACAATAGGGTCAACTTGACCTACGCAATCTTTTAGTAAACAAACTGAACATTCATGTTAAAAAAATTGAACATGTGCAGAAATACTAATGCTAATAGCTAATGACTTGCTTATGACTGACATTGTATAACTCTGAGTTGAAATAGGTCCCAGTTGCTGTAAATCTATGTCTTTTGAATATATGCAATGCTACAATCAGCTGTCACTGTGATGAAATTCAGTTAATGAATAAAATCTTGATCATTTACTTTGCTTAATGTTGTCTCCTTTCACAGCTTCAATGCCAATGTCTTTGCATGTACCCCTGTTTACACAGGCTACTCTGTCTGCATTAACACTATGTGGCTCTGCAGACAGATGGTCGACATAGGTGCATTTAGAATTATGGCACAAATGGTTGATGTCAAAATCTTCTCTGTGCACAGTTATGGTGTGCCACTTGTTGGACATGGGGCAATGGTACCTCAAAACTCCATAGCTACTGGGCTTACATGCCCTGGACCAGATTTGACACTGGCCGTTTTGATGATGGCCGTTTGGTCACTTTGGGCTGAATTACAAGCAAATACATCTCTGTATTTTTTTAAAAAAGGTTTCAGTGTTGGCCATATTGATATCATGCAAGCTCAAACAAGGCACAAGAGGTGTAGTGATACATGATTCTACCATATTGGAACTCATATGACTTATTATGATGTTTGCACTCACTCATTTCAACAACATGCATAAAACCGCACGTTCAAAAGAGTAAACAAAAAAATAAAATATTACATATAAAATAAAACATATCTAAAAAATATATTTCATGCTGAAAACACATACACACAGATTTCAACACTTATTGTTAATATAAATGCCAAGGTTCACGTCAATTTCTTACAAACCAAGAGGCCCATAGGGCCTGTTTACACATTCATGACAAAATATACATTTGCATTGTACATGTATATAATACTGATACTGTAATTTGTAATTTTGACTCTGTCAGCATTTAAAAGGGGTGGATGGCAAATCTGACAGCATGAATGTGTACTTCTCTAGATCTGAAGTGCTTCTATGTTATGATCCAGGATCTAAGTTTCCAGAGGCAAGGCTGGACCCCAGGGCGAATATTATTGACATAAATGTATTATTCTCTTCATAACAAACAAATGTATACAACGTATCTGTTTATTATAGGGTGGGGATAATATCGGTTTGCATGTTATGGTCCACCTTTGGGAGTGCCGGCCGGATGAACAGAAGAGCCAGTCCTGGTAGCAGATGTGCATTCCTCTCATTATACTCGGTATTGTTGTTGTTGTTATTGTTGATTGTTGTTTAATGCCGCACTCAGCAATATTCCAGCCACATGATGGCAGTCTGTAAATAATCAAGTCTGGACCAGACAATCCAGTGATTGACATCATGAGCATCAATCCACACAATTGGGATATGATGAGATGCATCAACCAAGTCAGCGAGTCTACCCGATCCCGTTAGTCGCCTCTTACGACAAGCATAGTCGACTTTTACAGCAAGCATTGGTTGCTGAAGACCTTTTCTAACCCAGATCTTCCTAGTCTCTCATTATACTCAGCAACTGTACATATGGTTATACGGTGGGGATCTTAACTGTGTCCAAGTTATAAACTCAGCCCCTCCATTTCTCCAATTTGAATCCCCACCACCAGAGAAGGCTTCCAATCAAATATGGTTGATATCTATCTCTTAGTTCTAGAGAAGAAGTCATTTAAAGCAATAATACCAAATAACCGCTATTTAGCCCTGCCCCTCAGCCCCTGTGTGGGTGATCAGCCCTTCCATTTGTACAATTTTGAATTATCACCACCAGAGAAGGCTTCCAACCAAATATGGCTGATATCTATCTCTTAGTTCTAGAGAAGAAGTCATTTAAAGCAATAATACCAAATTACCGCTATTTCGCCCTGCCCCTCAGCCCTATGTGGGTGATCAGCCCTTCCATTTGTACAATTTTGAATTCTCACCACCATGACCACCGGAGAATGCTTACAACCAAATATGGTTGATATCTATCTCTTAGTTCAAGAGAAGAAGTTGCTCAAAGCAATATTGCCAAATTCCCCCTATTTGGCCCTGCCTCTCAGCCCCCTTGGAGGTCAGCCCAATCAATTATACAATTTTTAATCCCCACCACCTAGGGATGCTTCCAATCAAATTTAGTTAATTTCCAATCAGCGTTTCAGAAGAAGTCATTTGAAAACATTGTTGACTTATGGACAACGTATGGACGACGGCTGCCATGGTATGGCATAAGCTCACCTTGGTCATTCTGAGCTAATAATAGTGATATAGCGAATCAAACATGTGCACTAGCCTCACCATATCAGGCCTCAGACCACAATTAATTTCCTTCTTTGCTATCTACAGTGACATGACAGCCCACCATAATTATTTTCAGTCGTAGGCTGTTCTCCTGTTGCATGAGGACCATCCTGCCAAATTGTCACTTACAATGCTAAGTATCGGCCTGGACCCACCAGGTAACAGTGCCCACTGGAAGTTTAGAGCCAAAACACACAGAGCGGCCTTCACCTTGGGGTCAAGTCATGGAAAGCTGGCATTAATACCTTCACAGATTGTGGCTAACAAAAAAATTCGCAACAAACTACAATGTCAATTCTTTCATTTAAGCTATCACAAGTCACTCCCAAAAACTTGGCATAGGCTGAACAGCCTATTTTCCTTCCAGTTCATGGTAAAGGTTAGGGGGGGGTTACTGTGGTCTGATGTGAGAGGTGGAATCTGATTGGTCAATAGAAGGGACATAGAAGGGACATAACTACTTATAGCCACTGGTGGAGCTACAATTGAGCCCAGAAATTCCATCCTAGTTCGGCAAGGGTGGAAACTGGACTTTTACAGTCAGTTAACGCCCTTGCCTCGGGCCAAACTGCCCCTTGGATTGGATATATTGCATAACCATGTACTGTCCAGTATAGATTATGAGTCCTTCAGCATGATGGTTCATGTGGGGAGTCGGATGCAAAGTCTCTGTTTCAAGGCATCTCACATGAATAGGGTATTCAGGTATTTTGTTGATGACATTTGGACATAACAAAGTTGCTCTGACCCTAGAACATGGTATGTTGTATCTTTATGGTTCCTATTGTAGAGATTTGCAGGGATAATTACGCTGTTATGGGGCATGAGTGCTCTTGACCTTCCCTGATATCCAAACTCTGTTTACTTATATCAGTCAGAACAATTCCAAGTGTCTACATTTAATATAAGAGTAACAAATTTACAAAATAATGGCAAAAATGAAAAGGAACATATTAAAAAAGCAAAGAATGACAACAGTCCTAAATGGAAGAGAACAGTTTCGGATGGTAATTTCATCAGTTTGGAACATAAAACAAACTGTTTTGTAGATGTAGAAAATGAAAACCTCACATACAATCTGGACACTGATTTATCTATTGCAGAAACCATATCTGTACAGACTAGTTAACAGCAACATCTTTCAAGAAATACACAGACGAACTTACTGATAGGCCAACATGTCACTGCCAGTCTTGCAATAAATTTCTGTTTCTGAAAATGTTCGAAATGCGAAATACCAAACTGAGACAACGAAATTGTCTTATTTGATCATTCATGACAAACTATGTTGTTATTGTCAAACCAAACAATATGGTATGTAAGAAAATTGATGTCATGACCTAAATACAACCACAAGGGTTATCTCCCTTAGATGTTGTATAACACTCTTTTCATTTGTTCAATAACGTTTGGTTGTCATTGCACTATTACTTTTCAGATTCAAAACTAATACATCACTGCTGCTTCACTGTTCCATGATAGACTTAGGGACCCAGAAGTAATTAATTGTTCATATAATCCTTTCTTCCAGTTGGTTAAAGAAGATGCTGATCTGGTCGCGTAAAGATGACGCCTGATGACGAGACAGTGGACTTCCAGAGTAATAAAACAGACAGCATATGGACCACCGGTGTCTGGACTGCTGTCACATATGTCGACTGCTACTATGAATGTCCCGGTGCCAGGCACATCCAGCAAATACGAAAACTGAACTAAAAGGCCAAAATACCCCAGCTGCACTTTGTTGTCCAAGCTGCAACAGATCATTAAGTACTGTTGTTGCAAATCAAACATGCCTGGCAAACATCATTCGGTCATCTGCTGATGACAGCACAAATGAAGTAACTTGTTTCAAAGGGCAACTAATTGAGACTTTCAACCTTGCTGATATTGACCTAGATCAGGATGTCCTGGTGGATAGTCCTGAGTTAAAGGGGCACTTATCTAAAGCAATTCACTGGTTGTTGTTTTTGTTATTGTTTTTTCCCTGTGAGTACCCAGATGATATAACAGAAATCTAGACTAGTTCGCGACCTGAGCTGCGCCATTCCTAAGTGCATTTGTCACTTTTATTGATTGTATTAGGGCGTATGGTCACCTTGATCAACAAAATGAAATACAGTTTTGGAAATAATAAGGAAATGTAGGTATCTTTGTGGGGAGCATCGGTAATGGTGACGAAGTTTTGATAAGTCACTTGCTTGGAAATTGTGCGATTTTCGTTTACACTATTTTGA